CGTGGTCTGCACACGCTCCAGTTCAACCTAATTTAGAAATTGAGGGAGTGACAATCAGAAGGGCGAGGATGATGGGGGATGAGGACGATGCAAAAACATGATAAGGATACCTGAGAAAAAAAAACTGAACCGTCAGAGTGTGGTGAGGATGAGGCCGCCGAGAGTGAGAAAAATGGAGGACAAGGAAGATACTGACCTTGAAAAGGCTGAGGATGACGAGGATGATAACGATACAGAGCACGATTACGATGCAGAGCCCAATGGAAATGCATTTGAAAAGAAAGAGGGAGATGGATGATAAGGAAAACTGGTATGAATAGACAAAAACCACCATTGCCATGAACGCGAGTCAGAAAACAAAATCGGCGGCATCAGAGCCGACCAAACGAGCTTGCTTGTAGGTAGATCTTAGTGGGGGGGGCTAGCATATATATATATATACACATATATATGTATGTATGTATATATATATATATTGTCAAAAGGCTCTTACGAGCAACTTTGTAGCGCGCGTCCAACTCCTGCATCAACTATCGCTCGCCAGCCAGGGGCCACCATCCCTGTCAAACGATACCGTGCGGGGCCGCTTGCGCGTGGCCGCGCGCGTCGTCGTCGTCGTCGTCCCCACGGCACCGTGGCGGGCATCCCGACGTCGACACTCGCTCGGGCAGGGGATTTCGCAAGTCGTGCCCCACGGCACCTTCGCGGGCGTGTCCCTCGTGTGGATGTCCTGTCCTTTCCTGCTGCTCCTCCTCCTCATCCTCCTCGTCCTCATGGGGCCTTTTATCGGGCAAGGCTGCCTAGTTTGATCTTTTCCGAGCGGGCCATCGGCGCGGCCTGGTGTCAAGGGTCTGCGCGGCAGACTCAGCGCGAGCTGACGTCTGAGAACGGAAAGACCCTCTCCCTACTCATGTTCTCCCTGGAGCGCTGTGGCGCCGGCTGGTGGGATTCGGCTCCCCCTGGAGGTGTGCCCCGCCGTGGGCGTGTTCGAGCCCCCATAGTAGTTTTGCTTCCCAAGTTGCGGGTGGGTGGGTGGGATATCTGCAAGAGCTTGGGTTTTGCACGAGCTGCGGAATTGCCACTTCTTCATTGTAGTTGATTGTACCACATAGTCCACTCCGCATAAACTGCACAACATTGATTGCACCACGTAGCTTGCACCACATAGCTTGCACCACATATGTTGCTAGACATCGATTGCGCCACATAGCGTACACCAAAAAGACTGCATCACTGCTAGAACACACTGTTTGGGGTCCACGTTGGCCACCATCCTTCTAAAAACAACTCCTCCCTGTCGCACCCCCAGACGTGTCCACAAGGCAGGCCGGGCACTTCGCTTCAGACCTCCTCGCCACGTATGACCCCGAATCCTGATACGTGCAACTGGCCATCGCTCGGACGTCCATTCCGTGTTTTTTTCGGTTTCGTGTGTGGTTTTTTCGCCAAATGATCAAGGATGCTCCTCGATGGTCCTCGCCGAAAGAAAAATGCACACGTCCGAGTGATGACACGCGCAACAGTTTCACGAATGGAGGGCGGGCACTTGCCAAAACATGCTCTCGCCATGGCGCCGCGCACCTTCGTCTTAAAAACTGGTCCGCACTTTCGCGGGTGGAGGACAGGCAGGCCCTTTCCGAGATGGTGCTCTCGCCTTCGCGCCGCGCCGATTCGTCCTAAAAGCTTCCAACCATTTGACGGACTGATGGCGGGTCGTTTTCAGAATGTGGTCATCGCGTTAGCGCCGCGCACCTTCGTCTTAAAAATTTACAACCGTTGCAATGGTCGACGTCCCAGGAATTGTCCTGGCACGATCTAGGACTACCAGGACGCGACAGTCACGTTGATTCGTGGTGCTGAAGTTCCAGGAAAGTTGCTCTGGCACGAGTGCAAGCCGTCCAGACGCAACAGTCACGTTGATCCGCGGCGTCGAAATCCCAGCAAAGGAGCTTTGGCACGATTGAGGATTCTCAGACGGTTGCCTTCCACTGGGGTGCTTTCCGCGACGAATACAAATTCTTGCAGGAACCTATGAAGACGGAACTTGGAGGGAGGGTGTATTGCAACATCGTTGATGCGTCTTGGGTTAACACTGGTCCTCCTCCTCCTCCTGCCCCTCCTCTTCCTCCTGCTACTCCTCTTCCCTCTGCTCCACTTCTTCTGTTTACCCCACGTGTTTCCCGAAGGGTTTCCACAAAGGCTGGGGGGGAAACGTAGTCCAATAGCTTGGCCGAGCTCATGCCGCAACGTTCACCCCCATATAGAAGCTTCCGAAAGGCACGGGGGCGGCGGCAATTTGCTGTAGGCGTCTACGATACACAACGTCGGTCCATGCACACGTTCTGCGTAAGGATGCATATTAGAAAGCGTGGACCGAACACATTAAGCTATTGCAAAGCTGGTGTGCAAGCTATGTGGTGCAAGCTGTGTGGTGCAAGCTATGTGGTGAAGTCCACTCTGCTGAACTTGAAGTCGTCATCTCCACTGCTCGCGCAAACATCCCACCCACCCACCCGCAACTTGGTTTGCAAAACCTGTTCAGACCGACTACGACGACACCGACGACAACGACTAGGACGACACCGACGACGTCTCCGACGACTTCGACGACGACAACGACGCCGACGCCGACGACGACGAAGACGACGACGACGCCAACGAAGGCGACGACGAGGGAGGAGGAAGGACGACGACGGCGACAACGACGACAACGACGACAACGACGAGGGAGGAGGGAGGACGGCGACGACGCGAACGACGACGAAGGAGGAAGGACGGCGACGCCGACGACGACAACGACGAGGGAGGAGGGAAGACGACGACGACGACGACGACGACGACGACGACGGCGACGAAATAGGAGGGACGACGACGAGACGCCGACGACGGACGACGACGACGACGTGGGAGGAGGAGGAAGGACGACCACGGCGACAACGACGACGGAAGCGACCACGACGCCAAAGAAGACGACGACGACGAACACGAGAAAAGACAAAGGACAACGTAGGCGACGACGACGACGACGCGGGAGGAGGGAGGACGGCGACGACGACGACGACGCAAGAGCGCGCGCGCACGCTTTTGTTGAAAATCCGTGTTGCGAAACCTTGGGTCTTTGTAGGTTTTTTGGACGCACGATTTTGAAATCCTTCCGAAACCGATGGGTTTGGGGGGTTTTCGGCATACGCCCGCGACGACGCGCGCGTCTGCACTTCGTCCCACTTTTTGCAGAGGATTCTCGCGACGGCACACGCGCAAGGGCGTTCAACAGATTTCGACATGCGCGCGCGAAGCCCGTTTGCTAGCATTTTGTGAAAATACTGAAAGCCCTATGGTTTTCTTAAGATTTCGCAAGAACTCGCGCGGAAGCTGTTTTAGCAAATCAGTGTTGCGAAACCATGTGTTTTGTATGTTTTTTGGAAACTCGATTGCGAAATCCTTCCGGCACCGAAGGATTTTGAAGGATTTCGGCATGCGCGCGCGACGACGCGCGCGTGTGCACTTCGTCCCATGGTTTGCAAGGGATTCGTGAAACAGTTCTATGTTAGAACAAAAAATGTCACCGCGTAGTGTTTTTTTACAAGGGTACCTCAGGGGGGGGAACCCGGTTTGGCTGGGATGATATGATTTCATATTTAGGATGGACGAGGGTGCAGAACATATATATATATATATATATATGTGAAATCATACTATCCCAGGGGGGACGCGTTAAGTCCGGGGGGAGTAGAGTCTATTCTCTTTTTAGAAAGGAGAATACAGTCAACCCGTAGAGTAAGGATGCCCGATAAGGATGCAAGGCCCTTGGAAGCCCATTTCGAAGTTTTCGAGCGGGGCGCGACCAACGAAAGTGGCCAAGGATGCACCGAGGAGGCAAGGATGCAAGGGTACCCTTGGGGAGGTTGCCCGTCCTTACTATGCGGGTTGACTGTATACGCGATGCAAGCTAGAGACGACAGTTAGGCGGCAACGGGCGGCAATGCAGAGCAACCTCGGCGGAACACCCAAGCGCGGCGGGCGGAAACGAAGCGGAAACGGCCGACACCGCGGCGAAGCATCGGCGGGCCAGGCGGTGCCCCCGCGCACCAGGGGGTACAGTCCACCGCAGTGCCCTCGTGCACCACAGCGCTGTGCAACACGACGCTTGCGCCACTGCATCAGCCGTGTGCACCCTAGCCTTCAGCGCCTGTGCGCACCAAAGCACCTGTGTGCACGCCTGTGTGCACCACAGCGAAAGCATGGAACCCCCAAGATCCCGACGGGGCCCAAACTGCAGAACAGTGTGATCGGCCCGAACAGATCATGTTTCAGTATGTACGCTATGTGTGTTGATTGGTTTTCTGGCCCGGGACATGGGCCCTTTATTTTTGGCCCGCAGTGCCTGCGTATACTCCGTCGGCTGTGAGCACCATGGCGCTCGCGTGCAGCAAAACGCGCGTGCGCACAACAACGCCTGCATACATCACAGCAGTGGCCTCTACGAGCGCCGCGCTACGAGCGCCACTCCAATGCCTCCGAGCAATAGAGCGGCACGGCGTCCATTACGGCACCGCAGAGGCGTGAGCGCAGCGCTACCTCACGAATGCCATAGCGCCTGTGACCACCACAGAATGCATGCGTGAACATCGCAGCAGCCTGCGAGCGCTACACGACGCCCGTGGTCGCCCCAGGACGACCGCCGTGACGCGATCTGGGGGAAGGGAGGCCAGGGCTGATCACGCCCGTCATCGCCCACCCGGGGGCGATAATGGGCGTGAGAAAACGCGTTCCTCGTCCGCCCCCTTTCCTCCTACTCATCTTCCCGAATGCCGTCCTCTTCCCTCCTCCAGCCTCCCTCTCTCCCCTCCCCTCCTCCCTACTTCCCCCGCGGCGGCGGCGGCGGCGGCGGCGGCGGCGGCGGCGACGACGACGACGACGACGACGAAGACAACGACGACGACGGCGGCGGCGGCGGTGGCGGCGGCGGCGACGGCGAAGACGACCACGACCGCGACGGCCTCCGCCGTCTACCACTGGCGCAAGGAGGTCGCGGATCTGCTCGCAGTACACCTGGCGGCTGCGGGGGGGACCTGGCAGCGTAGACACGCAGGAGAAGAGGGAAGGAGAGGGAGCAGGGGGAGGAGGAGGAGGAGGAGGAGGAGGAGGAGGAGGAGGAGGAGGAGGAGGAGGAGGAGGAGGAGGAGGAGGAGGAGGAGGGGGAGGAGGAGGACGACGACGCAAAGGAGGAGCATGAGGAGGACGCCGACGCCCGCGAGCGACAGAGCGACAGACAGTGCGCGCGCAGGGTTCTCCAAAAGCGGCGGCCGGCGCTGGCGGGGTAGGCCGTCGGACACCCCCGCCGAGCCCGCCGGCCAGACCGAGCAACGCGAGGTCATAGAAAGCAGACGCAGCCATGACCAGGCTGCAGCAGGTCTGCGGACGAGGGCTACCGACAGCTGCCGCTCTCAATTGTGCCGCTTGCACAGTGCATGTGACGTCTGCGCGCGCAATGCTGGCAGGAAGACGGAGCCGCGGCCTTGGGACCTGGCGGTGACGACCCCTGCGGCAGGGTGGGGCTCACGCGCGCGCATGCTGCACGGAGGCCACGGCACAGCTGCTGCAGGCTCGTGTCGGTACGCACCCTCGTGGGCCGATTGCCTTCAATAGGGGGCCAGATGCGAACCCTGCCCCTTCCCGAACGAAGTGAACCCCACCCTCCCCCTCAGAAATCGTGGCGGGGTAGGGGTAGAGTTCGCATGTGGCCCCCTATTCAACTGGTCTGGGCAAGTAGGCTCGCGCCGCAGGCAGAGGCACAGCCGCGCCTCCGGCCGCCGCTCCGCGCACGAGTTCCAGAGGGGGGTGGCCTCGACAGCGCTCCCACTGCGGCGGCGCTCGCCACTGTATGGCGAGGCTGTGAGAGAGCCGACGGCCTCCCGCCAGGCCCAAAGAGTCGGCATCCCAGGCTGCCAGTAGGGCGCTGACGAATGCCTCCGAGATGATGACTGGCTTACGCGTGTGGCGCACGCGGCGACGGACTTCCCCCGCGGGGGGAGGAGCGAGGAGCCGGGAACAGGACCAAGAGCTCATGGGCCCGAGCCATGCGCAGGCATGCATCATCAGTGATGGGCGGCACGCTCATGGAGCACAAAGCGTATTTCACACCAACTGGTCAAGATTGCCCTACTCCATCGCCACCACTTGCAGCACACGCACACACACACACACACACACACACCTGACAGTACGGACGCCTACCGTTGGAATGAGTACTGGCAGGACCTGAAGCGTACCCCTCCACCAGAACATGCCAAGCACTGCCGCCTACGTGGACCATTACCAACGCTACTTGGTACGATTCGACACGATCGAACATCATCACCATCGCCACTTATTACCCCCGCCCGCCACCCGCCTACCCTAGCTGCTACGTTATTGTATCTCTATTCAACCATACTGCTGCCAGCCACCTCATGGCAAACCGAACTACATACGAGCAATTCCAAATTAAACGTACACACCCTGCGTGTGCAAGTGGGTGCACCGTGGCAGTACGTTGGCTCGAGCTACTCTGAGCGACATGACGGTCACAACCAAGTTCACCACGAAGCTGGTGCTGAACGGCACCACGGAGGAAACTACGCACATCAGGAAGAGTCTGAACCGAATTGGTAACCGTGAACCAGCGGCCTCTGCAAACCGCCCGAACCGAAGCCCAAACCGGACCAGCCGACACCGAACTGGCCGGTTCCAACCGAACCGGCCAGTTCGAACCGAACCAGCCGATCGCAACCGGCCCGAACGGCCAACCCGAACCGGATGGAACCCGACCCCTCCCAGTCCGGGCCCCCCAGTCCAGACCCCCTGGTCTGGGCTCCCTGGTCCGGGGAGGAGGAGGAGGAGGAGGAGGAGGAAGAGGAGAAGGAGGAGATAAAGAGGCGAGAGGAGGAGGAGGAGGAGGAGGAGGAGGAGGAGGAGGAGGAGGAGGAGGAGGAGGAGATAAGTCGGGCTGAACTGCCCCCCCAAGATGGCATGCGAATGCGGCTTCCTCTTCAAATCTGAAAGATGCAAATCGCACGCTCCATTTCACGACGCAGCGCTGGGGGGGCATTGAGCCCGCCTTTGCGCGGGCGCGAGCGCGAAGAGTCTGAGATGATCCTGAGAGGCTCCGGAGAAGCTCCCAAGGGGCTCCTCCGATGCTTCTGAGAGGCTGCTGAGGGCGGCGCTGATCGCACCTCATGTAGCCGAATCCCACCTCCGAATCTTGCCTGCGGCGGCCGCGCTCCTGCTCCGAATCTTGCCCATCGACGTCCCGAATGGGGCTCCGAATCGCGCCGCGTAAGGGCTCCGAATCTTGCCCGTCGACGCCTCGGATGGTGCTCCGCACTGTTAAAAACAAGACCGAAGATAATTCACCCAACTTTCGCTAATAATTCGGCCGATGTGAAACTGCCATCTTTCGGGGCAGCTTTCGGTGGCCTCGTCCGGTGGCATCTCGGGGGGCAAGCCCAGCGCGCGCGGGTGGCCTGTGTACTTGGGGCCCCGCGGACCCCGCGTCCAGAGCCCTCGACTCAAGGGCGCAGATCTCCTTTGATTCTGGGGCCAGGGCCCACGGACTCCGCGGCGGGGCCCAGGCGAGTCGGGGCCCGACCATGTGCTGCGGCATCGCGAAGAGCGCCCAGCAACGCCAAAGAAACCGCGCGCAAGAACGACATCGAGCAAACAAATAAGCAACCCGGAGCATAGCAAAATTCACAGACGTTTCGCTTGGGGTCCTGTTCAGCCCGAAGATAAGGAGGAGAGAGGAGGAGGAGGAGGAGGAGGAGGAGGAGGAGGAGGAGGAGGAGGAGGAGATAAGGAGGAGAGAGGAGGAGGGAAAGTACTCCCCCCTGGGACCCCCTCCCCCCGATCTGGGCAGGCCCCACGGGGGAGGCCACCGCGCCTGAGGGCTGCAGCACCCACGGGCTGCCGCCTCCAGTGGCCCCCCACCTCGAGCGCGTCCCAGGCGACGTGCTCCAAGGGGGAGACGGAGAAGGCGCGTGGGGCCGATGCACCGTGATAGGCTACACAACAGTCGGGGCGTTGACCTAAGGAACCCTAAATAAGGAACGAGGCCCCTGCTTCCCATAAGTTAAACTTCGATTTCCCATGGGAAACCTCAGGAAAACCCAAGGCAAACTGCAAAACAATCAAGGAACACCGAGCCCCTCCCCAGCGAACAGGGTTCCTTCTTCAGCGCCCCGACTGTACCGTGAAGAATTCGCTCCCAGCTACCACTGCATGGTACCTGCTTGTCAGCCACGGGGGCCTCTACGAACAGTGTACGCGACACAACACGAATCCACTTCGTCGGCATCCTTATCGACAAAGGCAAGCCTCGTAGAGCCGTGCTGGCAGGACAGAACGACGTCAACGATAGCCCCTCGTCGACTGCTTCCTTGGAGGGACCCCGCCGCTCGAGTACATTCCCTACTCCCTTCCTCTATTTAGCAGCCTCGGGACGCAGGCGAGGATGGATGGGCTCCCTCTCCACCCATGGAACGAAAACTCGGGAGCGGCCAAGAGGGGGGCGTCCAAGAGGGGGGCAAATCATGGCCAGCGGCATGTGCGCGGCCCAGGGGGGGGCCAGGGACGTAGTGAAATAAGAAGGGGCGCCATGAAATCTGCGGAAATATCATGGCCCACGCCATGATATCCACCCCCACCTAGTCATCACCCTCCTCTTTGCCGCCCCCGAAAAACAGGGCCCCCTGGTGGTACCCCAGAGGGCCTCCGCAACCGCAGCGCCGGGCGCCCAAGCGCGGGCGCCACGGTGCGGGCGCGGACTGGGATCGTCTTGTGTGGCACTGCGGCGGCAGGAGGCAGGGGAGGACGAGGAGGAGGAGGAGGAGGAGGAGGAGGAGGAGGAGGAGGAGGGGAAAGAGGGGAAGGAGAAGGAGGAGGAGGAGGAGGAGGTTGGATTTGGGTTGGACGATGCGCTGCGCGCCACTCCACCCAGTTACTTGAGCAGTGGCCAGGGGCTCTGCCCTTCTCGAGCGCTCGCAGATACGGAAGGCCCGTGCGAGCGGGGGCTTCGCATTCCTGAACAGATTTCCCGCTCCTCCTGCAGTGGTCCGTGCCCAGGCCACCACATCGAGAGCAAGCAAAAATCCCTTCCTCTCGAGGCCCCCACCACGGCCTCCCACCGCCTCGTCGTGTGCGACGGGTGCGCAGTGATGCCACCCCGCACCGGGCCCCGCCTCTTGCGGGGCCTGGCTGCTGGGGTGGCCAAGGGCTGGTGGGGCACAGGGCATCTGAAGCCACCTGAGCGACGAAAAGGAGCGAGTCTTACGCGCCATGGCATAGCTGCCTTACGCGGTGGCGTACGCGGGCCGCCAGCACGGTACGCTGCATTGGAGACGAAGGCGCTTACGCGCGACCTTACGCGGGCAGCTTACGCGCCAATGTCGGCGCAGACGACCCCTGTTTTTTTGCGTCGCGCACTTGACTACTGCGCTCTTGGTTCTCTTGGACGGCTCCGTACCGCACGAACGACAGTGCCAACGACGTTGACAACCAGATCCCTCGGCCAAACCAAGAAGGTTCAAACTCGCAGTCGAAGGAGGAGGAGGAGGAGGAGGAGGAAGAGGAGGAGGAGGATGAAGAGGATGGGGGATGGGAATGGAGAGGAGGATGAAGAGGGAGGAAGTGGAAATTCACGAGTCGGTCTGCAGATTCCTGAAGGTTTTCGGCCCATGGGGTGTTTTCCACTGCTTCCTTGCAGCTTGGCGAGAGCCTCCGTGGGAGCTGGAGTCGTCCCAGACCTCTGCCTGGAGCCCGAGGTGCGATCCGAGAACACCACCTGGAGAGAACCCGAGGGGGGGAAAGCGGGAGGGGAGCCCCCCACACATCGCACCTGTCCCTGGCATTGTCCGCGACACTTGCCCGGCATTGCCGCGGACGGCCTGCTCCTTCCGCGCGCCGCTCGCCTTAGCGGCTTTGCACACGAGGTGAGATTGATGATCTTAGTCGTCATTGCAACCTGTGCCCCTTGACTAGAGAAGAAAAAAGCCTTGGAAGTGTCGCCAGTCCAG